CGCAGCCCAAAGCGGGCTCCTAACCCGGACACGCGAGAGCCCGTGCGCTCGCTCCCAGGGCACGTTCACGCTCCTCCTGCCGTCCTGCAGGCCCATCCACATTCAGGAGCCCAAACAATTCAGTTTTCTATTAAACAGCTGAACTGCCTCATGTCAACCATGCTGTTTCCTGTCTAAAAAAGATAGATCAGGATCCCCCCTCTTCCCACCACAGCCTTATCTGGACAGCTCTTGCAGGACAGCACAGTTAACAGCTCGGACACAGGACTCCGTTCGGGACATTGGAAGCAAAATACCCCAATAGAAAGGAACATACTAGGCATGAAGATCCTGCACAGATACAGCCTTCCTGAGAACAAAGCATTTTCTGCATGAAAACCAGGACGTGTTTCACCAGATTAATACTGTTTTCTTCATGTTATTGAGCAACGAGCCGCAGCTGTCCCGGCTGCCATTCCAGAGCTGGAAGCTTCTCCCACTTCAAAACAGGCTGAGTTACCATGGAAGCAAGCTTCACAATTCTTACACTGGGAAGAACCACAGGAAGCACTATATACTACTATTATTAAGAATTTGAAAAGGACAAGTTGTAAACCTCAGCATCCAAGTTATTGGCCAGAACACCACATTGCTGGCTCTGGCACCCACAGTTTAAGAAAACTCTTCTCAAACAAACATGGTATAATTGACTGATTTAACAAGCAACGTGCAAAAGACTTCGTATTTCCCCTGCACTGCTATCAGAAGCACGAAAACAAGCCCATATTGAAAAGCAATAAAAAAAACACCCACCAACACGAAGTTGAAAGCAATCCCAATCGTTAATGCCTTAACAGCACAGTTGCCAGATTGCCTTGATCTACAAGGCTAAAAACCTCCCCCCATCAAAAACTAAGACTAGTTCCAACAGCTGAGCATCTCTTTCTGGTTGAGTTTTGCCTGCCAGACACTCAAGCCTTAGGCTCCAAACACTGAGATTCTGCATTAGGGATATGGCACAGTGCCAGCTGTGAGGGAAATGCCACTACTTGGCATGAAGCGCCATGATTTCATCTCCTTTTGAGAACACTGAGATAGTAGCAAGACCTGACACAGGCATCAAGAAAAATCAAGTACCCAATCTATCACACCCTACTTGAGTGCAATTACATCTGTACATAACTGTTTTGAGCACCGTGACTCAGAGTACTGGACTTGCATTCACCCTATATTAAGCAGGTGACAAAGCTGTTTGGCCACAGAGGGTTTAGGGGTTGTTTTTAAAAAACTCTTTATTTTTATAAAGGAAGCATGGGTTGAGATTGACTCCTTAACTGGTCCAGAAGTTTTCTCCCCCTAAAAGATAAGCTGCAAAAATTTAGGATGATTCAAACTGAATGAGGAGAAAGTAATCCATCTCATTCTCAGGATTTTATACACTAATACTGCCAAGTTTGAGTAATTTCAGAGGGAGTTTATGAATAAAACAGAACTGTTTCAGTAAATCAGTTCTAGTAGTTTGTTTGTTTTTAACTAGGAGAGCCATATATGCAAAACCCGGATCTGGCAAATTTAATCTGACACAATGAATGTTCTGAAGAGCAGGATTTTTCACTGGAAACTGAAAACCAGAAAGAGTTGAAATATTACCAAGCTTTTATGAAATTATTTTTGACTCGGGTTAGTAACAATAGTAGCCCAAAAGATAGTCTTAAGTGGACTGAGAGACAAGTTCATCAAGAGTCCCAATGCCACTGGTATACAATATCTAGGCTGAAGGTCTGTAAGGAAAAGCCCTTACTGAGAAGGGCCCATAAAGAACACTTGAGTAATCGAGAAATTCCTCTGGTCAGAGTTAAGGTACCTCTAATCAGGTCACCCTTCCCCTCCAATAATGGGAGCTGACACTGCAGTAAAACTGGAGAGATATGTACCTGAGTAATATTTATGATCTGGCTTTGTCAAACTCTAAGCACAGAAAGGAAAACTGAAAGGACTCTGCCTGATAGATCAGGTAACTGCTGTTGCAAGAGAGATATTGACACACCAAATCTATATATACTTCTCCCCATAACAGTATGTATGGGAGCACTGTCCTTCCTCTTTGGAAGGAGAGAGCAATGCCTAGGAAACTGATCTTCACCTGAAATCCTCCCTGCTGCAAGAGCAGATGCAGACAAATGAAAGGAAAAGCAGCTCTGACTCCAGCCACTGGGACTAACCTTATTCCCCATTGACAGGGTGTTAGAAGCTGTTATAATACATGCTGGCAAGAGGCACCAAGACCTGCTGGCACTGGATTTGATGTAGCCATTTCAAATAAGAATGCACAAAGTACCTGTAAAGTCAATTGCATTTTCTTATGGTTGGGTCATAGTATTTCAGAGCTTTCTCACTAAAGAAAGCCTAACAACTTGTATACCTTAAATCACCTGCCTAATTAAAGCAAAAGCTCTTTAACTTGTAAAAAATGTATTACGAGAACTGATCATTTTGGAGCAACAATAAAAGCTACAAAAACAAAACAACAAAAAAACAACTATTCCTCAAGTCACAGGGCCTTCAGAGCACAGGGACATAAGTCAGTTGGAAACTTATATACAGAGATTGGACTCATCTATGAAAACCAAAAAAGGACTTATAAGAATGGCAAACACATGCCCTGCTTCTGAACACAGCAAATCCTTGTAAAGCCAGAAAGAACCGATTTTCCAATGCAACCACAAGTAAGTTGACAATCCCCTCTTCCTCTACCCATTTTGAATCGCTGGGCAGCTGAGATAAGTAGAATGTAGTTCTCAAAGCCATCCAGGAACACTTTGGCTATTTTCACAGCAAGGACACATATAATCTGTTGCTCTGCCACTTGTGATCCCGTTTGTTGCTGTGGCACCAACAAATAATACGAGTTCCACCAAAACATCCCCTTATCAGAAAGGAAAAATAATTGCAAAGGGATGGCGAAGGAAGATGGACGGAGGCCAACAGTGAGCTACTAGCAAATCTGACCAGAATATCTATTGTCCAGAAGAGCAGCAACTTGGGGGACCCCCGGAGGGGTAAGATTCCAGTAGACTCCACCTTCAGCTCAATGTTTTACTAGCATGGAAATGGCTCAAAGTGGGACAGCAAGCACCAGATGCCACCTGTGAAGCCTGTCGCAATCCAGATCAACTGGGTTGCTTCAGTAGAGTTACAAAAAATATTATAGTTTCTCCCCAGTAAGCAGGGGGCACAATTTCCTCTATAAAATAAAGTCTGTAGTGAGTTAGGTCATTGGTCCGAATGCTTGGAGGACGACTCTGATCTTCTGTGTCGAAGATGCAGCCAGAACATACCACTTTTACATCTGCACGTGACATGACCATGAGCGTGGTTTTAAGTAGTCCAGAAATGTGGGCTGCAAAACATGGACAAGCAGTGTTAGTCACAAGCAAACAGCACCAGGTGTGGTGTGCTGAAGAAAGTCTGTTTGGCCCACTAGCAGGGGAGATCAAACATTTTCACACCCTGCAATCCTGTTCCAACCCCACTAAACAGGGCATGAAAGTAGCTACAGCCATAACAAGCTGTTCCCCTACCATCCCCTTCACCCTCAGTTCTGACACACCAGCTGAATGCTGTGTTCAGTAGTGTGTTGTATCAGGGAGACGGTCACATGTACAACTGTAAACCCTTAAAGTGAGGTGAACTCACACTAGAATTTGGTTCTCCTGGGAACAGCTTTGCACAAGACTGAAGTCAACTAGCACAGCAGGATTTTTTTTTTTTTTTAAATTGAGAACAGAACTGGATATCAAGAAAGCGAGCTATAAATTGCCCATTTGATTTTGGAGTTGTACTCTTACTTTTTCTGCTTTACAAGGGACAAACTCACTGCCACCCACACTAGCCTGGGAGAGGACAGACTCAGTTTTTGTGGGCACCTTAGAAAAAGTTCTCCTGACCTCACTGGCCAAGGGCTGCTGTTCCATTCATGCAGCCTGAATGGCCTAACATACTCTCAAGTAGTGGCTTACGTCCTCTCAGAGACGTGGGAAAGACACCCTCAGTTTCAAGTAGCAACATACCATAGGCACAGAAAGAGTGCTAATGAAAGCACTTTTGTTAGACAAAGCTTTCCTAGAGGCTCTACAGTTTCTAGAGTAAGCGCATCTTAATGAACTGATACAGTATACTGTCAGAAAGGCTCGTGCCATTCCATTCCCACCCTGTCCCCATGGCAAGAAAGGACAAGCCGCTTGCATACTCAGTTATTCCATAGGAAAGGTCAGTTGCTCACATTTTCCAGAGGGCAGTACTGGCGGGCATACCACTCCTGGCTATAGAGGCAAATGATGACACCTTGGCCCAGGAAAAGAGATGTCCACATGATCACATTCCAGATGGGGCCCTTCCGACGGTCATTAAGAATGAAGTTGAAGACCACTGGGAAGAAGTGAAACGAGAGGCAACATTCAGAAAAAACCCTCAAGACTAAAGAATCAAAGACCCACCAATGCTACTGGATCTCCCCTGTCCCTCCCCTCCCCCTACCCTCCAACTAAGTCTCTGGCTTGAGCAACACACAAGGCTGTTGCACAAGGTCCGTACAGTGCACACAAACCCAATTATAGCTGGCAATATAGCAAGTCCTATGAGTTGATCCGATGCTAGCAAGAATCAGAATGCCATTGTCTGCCAAAGAGTTGGCACAGCTCTGTCTCTGCTTGGGATCAGTATTGTTTGGGCCAGGCAGGGAACCAAGACATGCTGGCAGAGGTGTCCTAGAGTTCTAGCCTAATTCATTCTAGCTCAGAACCCAAAATAAAGTGCTAAGAGCCCTAAGTTGTAAATAACGGGCTCTTCTCCTTGCTAGAATAGTTAAGTAGCTCTAAAGAGAAAGATTTCCAACCTGCTGACATGTAACAATTCAATTAAGAGGAAGCAGCGCTATTAAAATATGTATAACATCACATGAATAGCAATATACTAGACACAGCTTTCTCCTTCTCCCTGTCCATGCCTTGCTTGACCCCCTAAGTCCCAAGCTTGCAAACCCACTATGTCTGCGCTAAGCTACTTAGCCACACAAACCCATTCAAAAGGTTTGGGCCCGCATTTGCGGACTCCTGGACAAGAAACGGTCCCGTGAGTCAAGAGCAAGAAACCTAATGTGACCAGTTGTCTTTTATGCAGAAAAAACGTATTTGGGAATCACGCTCACCACCCAACCCCCAAAGTCTACAACCCACTCACATATTCCTTCTCAGGAACTTACTTCCAAAGCACATGAAGAGGCAAAAGAGAACTGGATAGAAGTAGCCAAAGCAGATAATCAGGACATATTCATGCACAGCAGCTGAGACAGTGAAGACTAACAGCATAGCTGCTGCTTTGAATTTCTTACCAAAAAACTGCAAGAAAGAGGATGACAACCAAGGATTATAAGCTATTTTGCTGTTTTTAGTTTATTCATTTCAAAGTCATTTACCCGAGCTAAGAAAGGCCTGCTCCAACCAAGATACGTGAAATGCTATGTGCTTTTAGCACATCTAAGATTTTAAGTGTTTATCTTCAGACCTCTTTCTGACCTGCTGAATGAGTACTCAGCTTGAGTCCACTCATGAAATATCTAGTTCATTAAAGTAGAGGAACAGGAGCTGAGACTGTTGAGTCAACTGTCACACTTCAAATAGACTGTATTTCAGACCTCCAGCTGTTGAGTCAACTGTCACACTTCAAATGGAGGTCTGAAATACAGTCTATTTTACACAGAGGACTTTAAACTGAACAACAGATACTCTAAGAGGGATCCTCACATCACCCCAGCTGAATCAGCTATAGACTTATCCACAGACAGTAATGCTGCTTTTTGACAAGTATACTGTCTTGCCCAATAGTTAAACATTTAAATAACCTTTAATTAACTTTTAACAAAACACAGTGGTAGCCTATATCTTTAGACTACTGTAAGGCAAGGCTTATAGGATATTACCACTGTAGTAGCTGGAGAACAGACAAGATTTCAGACATACAAGCCCTTATTCACAAGGCCTACAAACTTTGCCATGTTTGTGCTTATATAGTGTTCCCCTGCCTAAAACATCTTTGAGTTACTTCACTCCAAACCTATCCAGCTAGTGAAGTTTGCTGGCAAAGCTTGAGACAGGAAATTGCAACTTCTTAAACACCACTAAAGGAACTGCTTTTTCTTACTGCTGAAAAAAAACAATGGCTTGGATACTCCTCAGTTCCAAAGAGGTTTCTAGAAACAATCCCACTGTGACAGCAGCATTTTTTTTAAACCAGAGACAGAAGGTGGCAGGTTAGATCTACTTTGTTTGGTGTAAGCCACTGCAGAACTCCATCAGCTCACAGCCATCCCAGCCAGCCCACAGCTGTCCCAAGGAGGACAATGGCTACAAATTTCTTACTCATATTTCATTAACTCTCTGCTTACAAATCTCCCCATTTCCAGACAATTGGGTGGGGGGGAAGAGGAGGGAGGAAAAAAGGCCTTATTGTTTGAGGGGAAAAAAAACCAAACAAGCAAATCTATTCTTTGCTACTCACCCAAAGGAAGTCCCTGTAGGCATAGTAATAGAGCCAGTCATGTACTACTACATTCCAGGTTCGGTAGTAGTTTGCATAGGAAGTAGAGTTCCACCAGTCCTGAAAGTGTTGAATGAAGAGTAAATCTGAACAAGCCTAATGCATTCTACAGGTCCTTTCGGGGATACCAAGACGTTGATCAGAGTAACACCAAGCCAATATAACAAGTTGCACCATGAAATAGCGTGTTTCATTGTACTTCCAACATTTTACTCTGTACTAAGTATAGTTTCATCATCTCAAACTGCAGTGGCTGCTATGAGAGAAGAGAGTGCTAATGGAGCCGTTAGACAGGTCCGGTGGCTGGTTCTGCTCATGTACCAGCCACATTATCTTAGAAAAATTCAGACTGCCGAATAGGCCAGTTCCCTTCTACAGGGCAGCAACAAATTTAAACCCTAACAGTGTAAAACAAGCAAAACTCTGGATGCTCCATTTGGTAAAACAGTCTGCAGTTTCCTTCTCTTTCCATTCCATTAGAGAAAGGAATTCTAGAAGCTTTATAAAGCTTGCTTCTCTTAACCTTTCCGTTCAAGTTAAGAGAAGGAAAAGCTGACACTGTGGATGGAAAACTAATAACAATCTATAGCTTGTACTTCTTACCTTGTAGAACATCCTATCTGCAAAGCGCAGCATTTCAGCAAACGCATTAAGCCAACAGTGAAGGAACGCAAAGAAAACCAGGAAGAAAATCAGTACACCTAGAAACATGGAAGAGTCAGACTGATTTTGTAGTGTTTTTGCTCAGGTTTAACCAGGAACACGCAACACAGTCAAGACTGTTCTTAAACATACTGAAACAGATGAGCTTTATGCTACCTATACAAAAAGGTAATGCATTTCGATTTCTCACCACGCAGGGTCACTCTTACGTCAGAGGGCAATAGCAAGGCTGACCCAGAGCCTAGAACTTGGCTTTGCAAACGGTTAAATTCAAACCCAGGCTTTCAGTTTGTGCTGCTGTTTCTGAAGTTTGGCATCCCATCACCACAGCCTTCCCACAAAACCTCCTTTGCTGATCTTTGCCTGCTGCTTCCCTCAGGAGAGATTTCTCTTCTACTTTTGAAGGGACAAAAAGTGCTGTTGTCATTAGTGACTCTTCTATCAAGCATTCCCCCTCCTTCCCACCTCTCTTCCTGTAGATGTAGTCACCCATGGATCCAGGCCTTACCTGGCAGAATGGAGTTGAAGATGCAGAGGACTAGCCCTCGAAGATTAAAAGTTTCTTGACTACTGTTCCGAAACTGAGGAATGCAGAGTCTCACAAAAATGTAGTAAGCATAAAAAAGTGAACCAAGCACCTGGAACAAGAGTTTGGCTCCATGAGAGAAACACGCACTTAACACATCACACCAGCTCCAGGAGAAGAGCAACAGCAGCTGCCAGCACAAGTCAAAGTATTTTATTTCACATTGCTACTAATTTTATTTTACATTGCTACTAATAAACTTCCTGCCTGGACCCTTACAGAAGCAAACTGCAACCACCTCTACAGCACGCTGACAGCCAAAAGCTGTTTTAAGTTCCTCTTGGTCCTAACAAGTTCTAAGTTAGGACACAAAAGACTTATGCCAACGCCAAGGTAAGTGTGCAAACTACCTTCTGATCTAGGTGTCAGACAAGAACAGAAGCAATTGAAAACTTATTGTCGTTCAATTTTAATATTAAAGTTCACCTTTCTTTTTTCCCAGAAGAGATGTTAACAGGCCAAACCACCTCAGAGCTTATTTGGCTCCCAGAAGTAGAGGTCAAAACGGTCAAAATGCAAGCCACTGCTTTAAGTGAACTAATTGCTTGTAAGCCATCTGTGTGCTTTGTCACTTCCTTTTGTCAAAGGGAAAGTGGCCAAAGGCCTTTTCATGCTTTGGGTTTTTTTTCTTTTGTTTTGTTTTAACAGGTATGCATTGTGTGAAAGCAAAAGCTTCAATCACCCCCTCCAAATTCATGCAGTCATTACTCTGAAGCACATTTGCAAGCAGCTATTGAAGCTCTTGTCCAGACAGGTTCTCTTTTGACCCTGAAGTGAAGATCAGGTCAGACTTAAGCTTGAATAACTACTGAAGACTTGATTTCATTTATTTCAAAATTGGTCCGAACATCTGCACACGGTTAGTTGTGCCAATGCAGTACAACCATGTAAAGATGGTCAGAGCACGGACATTGCTTCCCCCTCCCCTTCACCCAAAATGCAGTTTGTTTGTATGGAACGGAGTCTAAGAAAGTTACTCTAAAGGCTCAGTTAAGCATGGGAGTTTTTTTGGACACAACCATTAACGCAGCAAGATCACAATCTCCGTTTTTAATCACGGAAAGGTCTTCTTTCCTAGCAAGCCCACACCAAGTAAAAAGCAATTTAGCGCCAAAGGCATAACTGCTTAGCAACACAGTTTGGATGATTTCTGAAAATACATTAGTCAGTCAGCTGTATTACTCACCTGTGCAAACTTGGTAGCTACATATCCCCATCTTATCGTGGGATTCCTAGGAAAAGGATGCACAATGTCATATCTAAATGTAACCTCAGAGCAGCAAAAAACTCCACTCAGTTACCGATTTTACTAACCTATGCCCTGAAGAACCTGTTTTTAAAATTCAGAGGTTCGTCATCTGTTGACATCTTACAAGATGTCTGCCCGGATTGCTGGTTCCTCCCTTTCAACTACAGCAAGATAACTACAACAAGTCCATAAGTGGGAAACTACCTTCAGAGTAGCATTATGCAACTATGTAGGAGGTGGTGATCCACCCAATAGCGACATAAAGGACTGCTGACTTGACACTGTCAAAGTGCAACAGAATTGTTTGGGAACGCTATTTTAAATGATTCATCCTACCTCCTCAAACTTAAGAGATGGAGCTGTTTACTAGCACCACATGAAACTCAACATGCAAGCCTACTGCAAGACTTGCGTATCGCTCCAGATACTCAGTAGTAGTTCTTTGTTTCACCTCAGGTACACTTCCCAAAGAGAGAAGATCAGAATTGTTAAGTTGCCAAGTTACCAACTTAACCATATCTATGTGAAAGCTCTAACTCAAATCTAATAGATCGCATCCAGGGACGCTTAACACTGGTGTCAGTTTTTAAGACTACTTTAATGTTCTATTGACGTTGTTCACATTACCTGGGATAGTTGTCTCTATAGATGAGGGTGGGAGCAAAGAGGAAGTACAGGTATTGCGTAATTCGGGGAACAGGTACAGGGCCTGGAAGAAGGGGGAAGGGGAAAAAAAAAAAAAAACAACAACTTTGCAATACTGCATCTGTGCACTAAAAGGTCCAGTCTCCCCAGCACCTTTTCACAACCTACTACCCATCTCACTTCAAAAAGATCAGTCTGAAGTGAAGAGCGTAGGATATCCAGAGAAAATAAAGCAAGCTAGACTGTTAGCAGATGGAATTACTCTCGTAAAACATAGCTTAAAAGCCAGGGTTACTGACAGACAGTGCTGTGCTAACACCTTGGTATCACATTTTCTCCCTGTCCAGGGAGGATGAAGCTCTAAAGCCTGTATCAACATGTGGGTTCATGTTCAGCTCTGATACGCCTTGCTGAAAGAGCTTCTGCGCTTCTAGAACTGCTGTCATTTCAACTCGGGTACTGAAGTGGGCGGCAGAAAGACAGCCCCTATACTTTCTGCTGACGAAAGCAAAGAAAGGGGAGTCCTGTTGAAGCAAGACTTGAGACTGATAGCTTAGACCAGAACAGAATCTGTCTCATTACCTACTACCAAGTCAAAAGATTCAGGCTGAAATCCATGAGGCAGAACGCCAGCCCAGAGCCTCTTCAGCTCCCCCACCTACTCATGGGAGAAATATTACTTTTCTCCCATTCGTGTGGCCAAGTCAAAGCAATGGAGAGAATGCAAGAGCTGTTTGCATCCTGCTGTCAGAAAAAGCTGGGCAAGTTACTCACTGGACTTCTCCTTCACAGCGGACAGGACCCGGGGAACATTCTCTCGGATGAACGAATGAGCCTTCATAATAAAACGAACCTGTAAGATAGGGAGATTGAGATAGAATTTCGGGGCAACCCCTTCAACATCCTGGTAACTTCCCAACTTACCCCTTTTAAAAGGAAAAGGATGATTCTTCTGCCCACAAGCCTGTTTGGCTGACAGGAATTAAAACAGTGCAAGGAGACATATGCAGTAACAGTCATGACTCAGGAAAGTCAAATACTGCATTTACACAAATAAGACTGCAGCTGATGCAAGGACCCCAAATCAGGCCAAGAAATCATTAATAAGTTAACATCAACCTAAAATTGAAACAAAAAGACTATCCACTTCAATAGCCCAGTATGTTTTCAAGCCCTGAAACAGAGTCCTTGAGGTTATATGTATTCCAGTTCCCACCAGGTTGGAATAAGGCAGTGTGGTGTCACATTCAAAGTCTGTAGCAGCTATGCATGGTTTTTCTGTTTTAAAACTGAAGGACCAAAAGAAGGACTAGTCAAAAGTTAATTCCTCAAGCCAGCACTCTCATCTCTGGCCATCTTTGTCTTAACCAGATGGTCTGACAGATCTTCCACATGAACTCCCTCCCACCCCCTCCAAAAAAGGGAACTCCTCTCTTGATAAAGGTCTATCTTACAGACTGCTGCTTCTTGGGAAGAGGATGGAAAACAGGAACTACTGGCTGACTGCATGTTTTTATTTATTTCTGCTTCAGAGGAACGTTACAGCTTCCTTTAAACTATGACACAAGAGGCTCTTAAGCTTGTTTTTAAAGCATTTAGCAGCCACAAGACAGCTAGAAATAAACACAACTTCAGCCTTGAAGTATGTTCTGAAAACAATAATAAAGTCCCTCAACACAGGGTAAAAACAAGAGTGGTTTCCAGGTCAAAACAAAGTTTACTATTTCCTCTTTCTCATTAGACCTGCCTCTCAGAAATCTGTCTTCACCTCAAAGCTTAACTCCATCCAGAGCCCTGGCTTAATTTAACAAATATGAAAAAATCCAACCACACCTCTGACCCTTCAGGAAAAAGGGCCCTTTCCATTTGAAAGCAAACTTCAGTGTACCCAAAGATACCGGGCAGGAACCCACCTGTTCCAGTATTACAATAAACTGGGAAGCTGGAGGCAGAGTATATGATACAGCAACATAGGTCGGTCCAAGCCCAAGCCCAGCTGTCTGGAAAGCATCCCATAGAAGAGAGAGCGGATTATACGATGGGAGGAACTGCAGTAGCCCTGGGCCCATTGGGAGAAGAGGCTATATGGAACGATGACTGTGGCAGAGAACATGCACAGCCAAGTGCAGAAGACAACAGGAAACTTCCCAAAAACAAAGACCAAGAGATCAAATCCCAGGACCAGCCTAGAAGGCACACAGAAAGAGACAACGAAACAATGGACACTGAATACTAAGACACACTTTTACTCAACTTAATGGCTACAGAAGGCCAAGTTCCCAGACCATAATTGTTTGACAGTTCAGTTAGAAGCCACTGTGGCAGTTTCAGCTCAGAAGCAGAGGGCTGTCTGTTGCAGATTTAAGTTACCACCAGAAAGTACATCAGAAGAGAAAAGATGGACTCAGGTCATCAGTGCTGTCAAGCACAGCTTACCTTCAAAGCCCACAGGGCTTAAGCATGCTAAGACCAGCATGTGCTTTAAGAGCGTGCTCAAGCTCATCCCTGCTAAGCAGCAGCATGTGACTAAATCCACTGCTGAATCAGAGTCCAAAAGAGCTTCTGGGGAACAGCTGTAGGACATCACCAACTGCTTCCAAGTTTCAGTTTTTCCCCCAAGAGTTTGAACATCCAAAGAGGCTTTCCCCCACTATTTAGGCACAGGGCATTTAATCATCTTGCACTCAAACCTAACGTAACCCTGTGTTGTGAAAACTGCAGGCGTTCCACATGGATTCAGTTTAGAAGTCACCCAAAAGGCTTAGGGTCATTAGATGGTCAGTCCAAACATATCCAAGTGGTGTGCACCAAATACTTTATTCATTAATCGAAAAAGTCTCCAGTGCTTACTCATATATCTAAGTAGCTCTTCTCACCCAAGCTCAGAGGAACAGGTAGAGCCAAGAACAGCAACACAATTTATTTGTTCCCATGTAGAGGCTCAATTACAAACTGGATCCAAATTCAGATCTAGCTGAGAACACAACAGCTGTTTTTTTTCTTTTTTTCCTCCTTTTAGTAATCACAAAGATGCCATCCCTACTAGTTGATTTTATAGAAGTAAATGCTCATTTCCCACCCCCCCCCAGTGCCCATAAGTCACGATCAGCTAAGCAACGTTCAGTACCGCACAAGTCAGTTTTTGTATCTAGAAAAAAGGTACCATTATAATCAAGACAGCTATAGTTTCATACACTGAAGATAATCAGCAAGATAAGCATGTAATCCAACTTGCGTACAGCAGATACAGCTTGCCAAAAAGATAATAGTTAAAGTAACAAGCAAGTGTGAGGAAAGCAGCCTTTCACAATATCGTTCAGAATTTGCTGCCTGCAGAGTACAAGATCCTTGAGGTTTTCCACAAGGAAAAACAGGGCTCTATTTTTATTTAGGCACAAACACAGTTCTCCAGAACCGTTACTTCTAAACAGAGAAAGGACTGCTAAACTATTTAAAGTTTTTTCTAAACATAGCCCTCCTTCAGCCAACACAGGCAGCTGAGAGCTGCTGTTTCACTAGTGGCACTGGTTGGACTAAAGCAGCCCATGTTCAGTGAAGCCCCCCTCCCTTACGCCAGTCTTGCGATAAAGTAAGCATGTGACCCAACTACACTGGCCACAGCACTCGGGGAACTACACTTGTATCTGCAAGATTTTGTAAATGCTTAACTATCTAATTTGAAGTTACCACTCCTCCTCAATAGGAATTGCAGCATGTGTTTTAAGTCAACCCCTGGCCCCTTTTCTCCCCCAAAAGCATCCCAGAAAGGCATCTCTCCCTTCTTCCCTCACCATTCTGCAGTTTCATGTACCTCCACTTCTTTCGAAGGGTACACTTCCCAATCCTGCCTCTTGCTTTTCCAGAAGCACTCTTACCTTCCTTCATCAATGAAGTCTACTAAAAGCGTGCTGAGGATGAAGACAATGAGAAGAGCGATGAACATGTGGTAGATGGTCCTGATGTGACTCACTTCAAACAGTTCACTAAGGGAGAGATTCAAATGCTATCAGGCCATTGACATAGTACATCACACCTCCAGTATGTTAGCTTTCCAAGTATTTCACAGTAAGGTAAGTAGCTGTCACTGCCATCCCAATTCAAGAGACCAAAAGCTAATGCACAACTCGAAAGTCAGTCTCCATGCCTGCCACTTCCTCAGTTTATCCACAGATAAAGGATAATTAGCCATTATCTCAGTGGTACTGAGAGGACTGTAATTAAGGTTTTCATTAGGAAAGCCCTGCAAGTTCTAGCAGAAACGTGCTAGAAAGAAAAGAAGATTAAAAAGGAATTAGTCCACAGGGGTTTGAGCATAAGAGAGGGAGAAAGGAAGAAAAAAGCTAATTTGCTAGCTAGGGTATTTTTTGTTATTTTTTCCCCACAGAAAGAAAATAAAAAGTTAAGCCACTCACTCCAAGAGGGATCTCCTAGCAGTAAATATCTTGCCATGTTCTGGAGGGGCTCTCAAAATCCTGCAAACAGGAAAGGAGAGCATTCAAGATGAAAAAAGGAAATAAAGCTCCCAGGACGTGTAACCTTGTTATAGGACCAAACTAAAACCGACTTACTTGGCTTTGTGTAGGTCCTTCTCTGAGCAAGGAGCTGGAAAGAGGGAAGATGAAGAATCCAGGAGCGCCGATTTTGCCACCAAACTGTTCACAAACTCTGTGAAGTGACTGTCCACCTCCTTCATGAAAGCTGGCTTCAATTGCTGATAGAGTGGAAACAGAGCAACAAGATGTTTAACCCTCCAATACATTTCAATAAGGGATTTATATTGCTTTTGATGTCAGAGGAGGAAAGGGCAAGGCATCACCAAAATACTCCCAATCAGCCTGCCAACAGTTAGAGCCAACCTGGATAACATCGGGGCTTATCCTGGCCTGTTCACACACCTCAAGCCAGAGGACTTTGAATAATGTTTATCTTCTCTATCAGATGCAACACAGAGCAGGAAAGTAAACATTCTGGCCTTCACATAAGCATCTGGAGTAGCAGGTATTTCATGTATTTTATGGTGCCAATAGAAGTTTAGCTCAGCTTACTAAGTAAGCTCCAGAAAACATTTCCCATTCTCAGGGGTCATACAGTTCGCACAAAACCCAGTACAAACACTATTTACACAGAGGCCAATCTAGTGTTACTGGGAAAAAGTGGTAGGATCTGCTATTTAGTTTCTGGTTTTTAGACCAGATGGGTTTTGAACATTTTACCACTCTTTAAGTTAGTTATTTCTGTAGGAAGTGCTACACTGAGCTCTGAATAGCTATATGCTCTTTGCTGCAGTACCAGTTCTCTTACTCTTTATATCAAAAGAGATGCCCCTGTGCAAATCTCAGGGCAAGCATTACTCCTCTGACTAGGAAAGTAGGTAACATGAATTCCCTCAAAAAAAAAAAACAAACAAAAACCCACACAAACGCACACAACATGCATTCACTTTATTTCATTAAGAACTTAGAGAACTTAAAGATCCTAAGCACTGTTTCACTTCAGAAGATAGTGATTTATAGGACTTCTGAGCATCAAGTTCCTCAATGTCAAGCCCTCAGACACAATTCGTTTTCCCAGTACTTGAGCCTGGTGATGAAGCATGACTGAAAGCGAACGCATGAGTTCCTGAACCACAAGCCTTTCCAGAAGGTTCTGCTAGACAGTATTCATCTTCAGTGTAGGAGACAGTTAAGTTTCAAGAAATGACTACAAACCTAGTGGCATGTTATGTTCTGTTTGTTTGGTCTTCATGCAAGTGTCCATTTGCCTGGCCATCCTTCGGCCTGGGATTTTCCCAGTTTCTGTCCAGATTCAAGGATCAGGTCTTTTCATGATAACTACGTATCATTTGAGCTAGTCCTCCTAATGATCAGCCACTCAAAACAGCTAGTGTCCCTGATCACCTTTAAAATTCTTTACTACTGCTGCTGCTGCTTCTAATCTTTAAGCCTGATATGAAACAAAAGTGAGAAAGCCATTTTCAAGGAGGGAAGGAAAGAGGTGAGAAACTGTATGTAGAAAGGGTGTGTTCTGGAAAGGCCATTTGTGACATGTGGCTCTCGTGTCTTTAGCGTAAGAATTAAGCAGTGAACCATAAACAGCTAGAGTGGCTTTTTTTTGTTTAAGGAGAAACAGGAATGAAGCTTAACTAAACAAGGTAAAGGCAGACAACTGAAACAGGAACTGCTAGGTCTAAGCTGCAGCACTGACTGGCTCTCACAGAGATCTTTCTACAACTGTGTTTTAGAGTCTTGCTTCCACTGATTGAGGGCTATATCGCTGACCAGTGTCATTTTCCAGGCATGCTTGGACTGATTTTGAGATGGTAGACTTGAAACACTATGCTAAGTCCACCTCTTCTGACACAAGAGCTTTTAAGCTAAAAGCTACTAACAGATAATGCATTCTTATAAAGTGCTACTTTCTAATATGTGTAAACAGCCAAGTGAGCAGCAAGTTTAACTCTATAGCAGCATATTTAACAAACTGAAATGAAGCTATATAAAACTAGAAGACCCTGAGGTCAGGATGTATCAGAACTCTATGCTCCTCTTGTTCCACAGCAGTCACATCCAGAGACATCTTTTAAAAGAGAAGCTGCAGTAGGAGAAGGAACAGATTAATATTTAACTTAAAAACATTTTTCCCCTATTTGGCAGCTGCCAATGTAAAACAAACAAGCTTCACCAGTACTTAATGAAACAGCAGCTCTTAGTAGCTGCTTACTCCCAAAAATTCCTTTCCAAGAGGCAGAGGAGGGGATTTATCTCCCCCCTCCCCCCCGCAGAGATGTGGCTTTGCTCCTTTATAAACAGGAGAAAGGAAAATTAGAGTATTTTAGAATTACAGCTTGTAAGAAAACACACCAGCACTCTGGCACAATCTGAGTTTACAGCACGTGCACGCACATATCCCTACCAGAAGAGCCACACTGAAATTCTTGCTTCTCTTGGAGCGTTCAGATTTCCACAGCAAAAGGAACGCTAACCATGCCTACTAAACTGGCCTGCCCTCCACCACCTCCCTCAAGGTCTCTCTCCTGGCTGGAAACCCTGTTTTGAACTCTAATTGACAGTTCATTTCCTTGAACAAACTGTTTCCTTAAACCAGTTCTTGCCTCTTCAGTTAAGACTTTCCTCTTAGCACAGTCCTCCAGGCCTAACACCTACTTATTTGCATGTTTGGATGGGAAGGAAATAGGAGGAACGGGGCTTAAGCTCTTATTAGATTACGTCTGATAAAATCAGAGCACAAAGCCTACACTAACTGTAATACTGTACAACATATACCAATATCACTATTGCCTATCAAAAGGCTGTCATTTGAGCAATCGCCAGTGTAACCGTCAGCGCTCAATAAGCCAAGAACATTCCACCCAGTCACCAGAGAAAAGCAAGTGTAAGACATATAATGCACCTCCCATCAGCCTTCACAATGGCAGCCTTGCTGTACCCACCTCCAGTTCAAAGCACTTTTAAGCATACTTCAGGAAGCTTTTGGTCAAGTCTTACAGACAAGGAATTGGACAAATCCACTCAGCTGTCACAATTCAATTTTAAAGATAAACTGGTCATTACAAAAATAAAGAGGGGCAAATACTGAAAGAATGCTACGCCATAAAAAGCGGAAACTGGCTATAAACTGATCAGAAGTCGGAGGAAGTTGAACCAAATATCCTTGCAGCTTACTGCTAAAGAAAACATTGCAAGAGTTCTCCAGTATTTTACTCACCCTTTAGTTATATTGCTTGTATTTTAGTTATAGTATGGCACAGTTATATTTTATTAACTCTTTAGTTATGGCTGTTGTTAAGTTACACACCTACTACATGGGAAGGGGGGGGAGGGGGGGGGGGGGGGAAGACTTCAAAACAGGAAAATATCTCAAAGGTACAGAACGTTGTTTTCTTTCTGCCTTATAAGCATTCATTTGCTAACTTGCATACAAGACCGGGAAAATTAGATGACTTCATCTTTGCCATTGAAATCTCTGCAGCAAAGTGAAGCAAGAGTGCAGGACAATTTGCCCTGAAGAACATGTGTGCTAAGAAAGACAGCATGGAGGGTGCAGTTCATTGTTAGCCAACTTCATGTAATTTGGGCATGAGCCATCTTTCTCAGAACAGTTTGGAAAGGCACACAAAACACCTACTCATCTCAGCTAGGACAAGGGCACTCAGACTCAAAATACATTAGAAATACTTAGCGCTCTTTTCCTTGAAGAGGGAAAACACGGGTGTTGCTCACTGACAAAGATAGTGGGACCAAAGCTCAGGAAGGTTTTGCTCCATAGCTAGCGGAACAGAAGCTTTGGGATACAGGCTACATGCTACCTTTTATTCTGTGGCTGGCAGACACAGAGCACTTTAGACTTTAAATATGCAACCTGTCAAAGGGAGCAGGCTCAGCTGACAATCACATTGCCTGAAGTCAGTAGTGAGGGAAGTTCAATTTCATTACAGGCCTCAAAGTTCATTCTTATCTTTGGAGTTCACCCTTTTGGGGTCAAGTAAGACAGAACTGCATTTTGATAATGCTACTTCTTTTATGCAAAGTGAGAAAAGGTAGGAAGGAGGGGATAAAGAACAGGCAGTATAAACATCGCCGCTCTCAAGCTGTCCCTGAAAAGGACAGTTTGCGTTCCAGGACCAGTGACTCTTCGAAAGACATCCAGGGCCAATTATCCCACTTCTCTCCACCAACATCCATTAGAGTATATTTACCTCAGCTTCTGCTATTAGCTGCATTTTCCTTGTTATCACATGGTCGACATCAACCCGGCCTAAGGAGGAAAAGCAAATATTTAACAGTTGCATTTTCGGTAATATGACCTGCATGACTGAAAACACAAAAAGTAGCATGCGGTAACTCAGCCACTGATTTTTTTCCTAAGGGCTTCTGACCTCTAATAAGCTTCCAATAAGTTCACAACTAAGCTGCAGGAAGTTCATAAACTATAAGCAAATATTTTAGACAACCATTTAGGATCACAGCATTGTAAGGCAGGGAACAGCTGATAACACGTTGGACTTCTAAAGCTGTGTTTTCCATCAGCAACTCTGCAAATCTTCAAGGTCTCTAAACATGTTCAGCCTTGAAACAGCAACTAGAACAACCCCCAGAAGGTCATATGCAAGCGTGCTGATCTTTTATCAGGCCTTTATCTTACACACAGTGAACTAGACATGAGATTAGCTTGTCTGGAGGTCTCGGCATTGCCGATAGATAAGGTGGTCAAGTCATGACTATCTGTACAAATAGGGTAAGTTACCAGCTCTGAAGACAGGCACAACAGCGAGTTAGAATATTAGCCTGTAATGAAACCTGCCTACTCTCACCCCTTTCATCCTCCAGAAGTACTAGACTTTGGTCCGACTGTACTTCTCAATATGCTTTATCACTTAAGCAAACAGAATCAGGTCTGATTATGTCATGAACATCATCTGACTTTTGTCATTACCAATATCTTTGACTGATATTTAGAACCTTGAAATCCACCTGTCTTCTGCATAGAAAACTATACACAGTTGACATGCTTGTATTATGTCAAGAGGAACAACATACACAAATCAAACTGCCGTTTCAGACAAGTAGTGCTTTAAGACTGGGTTTGTCTGCAGTGGTTGCACACTGCTCATAAACCAGCTGGTGTTTTAATTCTTGTTATTGGTGAAGGAAAACACAGAAAAAGTTACTTAACAGCAATTATCGCTAACACAGTACCTTATATAGTAACACATGGTTAGTATTGCAACTTCCATATTCAGTTTCTAAGATAACATTGCCATGTTTAGAAAAGAGGTCACAAGCTGAATTTCCGTAATAACATTTCAGTAAAGCCCAAGTTACCAGATCTGCAGTTTAGAAAGAGGTGCCACTGTTGTGCTCCTGTGTGACCAGGAAACAAAGATTCATGATAGCATCACCGTTCATAACACAAGCAGGGCAGGAACAACAAGGCTGTATGTGCACAGGCTAAGCAAACTGTACAGTGTTACTCCAAGTACAAGTGTTTCTGTGATGCACACTAGTCTAAGAGTGGCTGTATAAGCTGCCAGTTGTAAAGGTATAGATAGACCTGCTCCAGCAATGACTCCGATTCCAATATTGGAAGAGTTCAGTGAAACAGGAAACACTAGCTTTAATCAAGCTATGCTCAATCATCACAAAACCCAGGACTCTGACAGCGTTAGTCTGACCTCCCCCTGCTCCATATCAAGCAAGCCGTAACATCATTTTTGTCTATAAAAACTGCTACACAAGCTCAAGCTCTAGCCTGAAGAACGGACCAGGAGCAACAACCTATTCCTTAGCAACCTAGTAATTCTCATGTTTATTGCTGCATTACAAACACCATGATTTTTTTTGGCGACATGCAAAGATCAAGTTCCACAAAAATAGAATTTCTGGTTGCTAAGCATCTTTCACCTCGACAACAAAAAATTACCTCAGCATTTAAGCTTATCACATTGTTATACTTGCTGAATGGAAGCAGTTCGTGGAAAGTGATTCAAAAGAGTGTAAGCAGCCATTAGAGAGTCCCTTCTTCCATTCAGCTTGTGCACTTTGCTGGAATTAAATGAGGATCCCTCCACCCTCCCCCCCCCCAAAAAAAAAAAAAACACCCAAGGTTTTCCATTAGCAGAACTGGGTCCCTGTATGTATCAACAGTTCTACTCCCCCACTTCAAAATTATGTTAACATCCCCTCATTACTACTGCAGCAAGAACCTTTACATGCTTATCTGCTAACCAGCAAAACAAACAGCGCTGTTGAATTCAGAGCACACCTAACCTTTCCTGCAAAAGGGTAGGAACTTGCATCTTTCTCTTCTACCCAGCTGCCAATCTTCAAGAGCCTATCAAGTTTGCTTGAAGCTGTCCAACACTGCCAAAGAGGACAGGACACATGAGACTTTGGGTATTGTGCTACTTCCTTTGTAAGCCAAGCTACAGATAAACAGCGACAGTTTTAACCATATATTTCCTGCCATAACTTGCATTAGAAGTCTTAGTTACTACAACTACCCAGGAAGGGTATCTAGTTTGGAAATAAAACATGTTTTGACTCACAAGGTCTTAAAAGATGGACATAAGTTTTACAGATACCTCCTTTCCTGCACAATCATTAAAGATATACTTTGGGTAAGTCCGACATGCTCATGCTGCAATTGGTAAATCATACACAGCCTTCCTTCTGTCACTCCACCCACCCACACACTAATGCTGTGCACACACTACACAGGCTAGAAACATACCAAGGTTTAAAAAGGCTTTAAATCAAGATCTGAACATCTTTAGTATACACATCTCGTGTAATAAGCCAAGTAAAACAACTTGTAAGCTCAGTTGCTTCCCATCCAGGGGGAAAAGTCTCCTGAAAAAGGAAAGGACCATCCCAAATAAGTAGTTCTGCTGCCTAGCACTGCCCAATAAACTGATGTCAAGTCACCAGACAGCAAACAGAAGCTGTAATTCATCCACTTTCTGAATCATTCATCTTCTGTTGTGCAAGCAACCACTTACAGCCTCAAAGAATATTAGAGAAGAGAATCACATGAATTTAAGTCTAAAAGGAATCGCTCGCTAATGAGAAATCTGAACCTTCATTTTCCTTTGACATTGAAAAGGAAAACTGGCTCCTTCTGTATCACTTAAGAATTGCAGCATCATTACAAAAATTGGACTCCAGGTTGCACAGGACAAGCAAGCCCATCTTAGCGTTTAAAGTAATGTGGGATATGTCTTAAGACAATAGGAAATAATTTAAAACTCGTTAAGAAAAACCTCCTTCGAACATTATTATGAAATAGCAGCAGGCAGGAGGCAACAGGAGGCTGAAGCAGGATTTGCTTTGAAAGAGCTCTGCTGCACAGAGAGAAGTTTCAGTTTAAAGGGAATTGCGCTCCCTTCCCATCAGGAGGGGGAACTGATAAGAACTTTATCTAGCTGACCGCTTACCTGTGGCTTGTAGGAACCAATTCTTGCAAGATCTTTGACACCTCTGCACCCCCCCTCAAATTCAAAGCAGGCTCAAAAGTCAGAAGAACAAATGTGCAATTTACAAGTAAGCTCTGTTGCCCTAGGAAACCAGGCTAAACAAAGATCACCTGAAAATTGAGCAAGATTCTTACTGTTAAAAGTTTGAGAAGTGTAGCTCCACACAAGATTTTTTTTATATACAACCTTCTTCAAAGAGTCATTTCCCCTTTTTCAATCTATTCTTATACACGCTACGGACAAGTGACGTTGGAACGACCACAGAACCACCCCGTTCATATGATCTGTTAGCGCTGCAGCTTGGGATCCAGCAAAAAGTTTCCACAAGATTCTATCCAGTGCTCTACTGAATAAGCTCTTCAAAACGAGCTGTGCTAGGAAGCAGTCAAAAATTTTGCTTAACCACTAAGTCTGAAAGTACAGCCAAAGGCACAAATGGGAATAAGTCATTTGAATAAAGCCATAGCTTTTATGCAGTATCATGGTTTCAGCTTGGTATGACTTCAGCAGCCACAGGAGCTGCCTGCAGTTCAGCACTCACCGTCCAACTATTACAGCGTTGTGGGAGTACGTTTGTTATCAATCAGTTAGAAGAATCCAGGGAGACTGCTGCTGTTCAAGTCACTGCAGAGCATTTGTGACAAAATGCCTCTCTGCAGAAAGGCTAAGAGAGGCACATGAAGAACAAACTACACCTTATTGCCACATGTACTTGAAAGCTATTTCCCAGGTGGATTGGGCAACCAATCACACCAGACAAGATTGTGCCTGACAGAATTACTCACAGTTCAGAAGGATTTTTCCCTAACATTAGCAAGTTTTACAATAAGATCCTGAAACCAAGTCCTAGCTACAAACTGATTCTTCTGTATCTGGTATTGCCCTGCCCTAGAAGGATTTAAAAATACTATCCTTAACCTTTCTTGATTGGGCAACTTACCACTAAAGAGGTTAAAACAATACAGACAGAAGGAGTTCCTGTTACTGTTTGATACCTGGATTCCAAGGCTCCTCTAACCATTGAGGACGTCATCTGAAGGACAGCTATGTTAAAGCCACTCCAGTGGAAGTCTATTGTAAAGAAGGAAGCTTTCCACATCCACTGCAATGCAACACATAATAATTTAACACTACTAAGCCTTATTCTGAGGTTTGCTACTTTATTTGGCCACTCAGGAGATGGAGTCAAGTTATGACTGGATTGACTCCATCCATAGCTCAGCCGATCTGCTTAAAGAACACAAAGGCCATGACGATCTATGTCACCGCATTGCAGTCTGGCGAGAATTCAGTTCAGGAGTCAAGCCTGCAGAAACACAGGACCCAAACAGCCTCTTCCCTCGCAGAAGGAAACATCAGCATGCTCCAATTTGTAAAGAGCCAGCATACCCTCAGTTTTAAACAAAAAAACAGGAGAAAAAAACAAACCACGAACAACTCAGCCTTCACCAAACCCATGGGTTGCAAATCAAGAGAGTCTAGAATTACCAGAATCCACTTAATCTTAGAAGTGACAGCTCTATGGTTGATCCATCTCTCTGAAATACTTCCAAGAAACTCAATTCAAACAGCTTAATCCCAAATTCATTATTCTGTAACAAGCAGCTTGTACAACTCACACTTATTCCTGTAGGTCAGACAGCAAACATTAGAGAAGTTTTCTGAATTGATCCCTGCTTCAGAGCTCCTTCCTCTTACACCCATCAGTAGGCACACACCATTCACGCAGCTTCGTGAACTTTCACGCTGAGAATGGTCAATAGCAACCTTTTCCTTAGAGGATTACAACCCCCTTTCAAGACCAGCTTTACTGAACAGACTTACTTTAGCAAGCAAAGATATGCCACAAAGCTTGTTTGCAGACCAGTCACCAGACTTGCAATCCTTTTCTGATTTCTCAGGCAAGAAGGGCAGACTCTACAATCATCAGTTTACTATTTTGAGTGGTCTCATCTCAGCATCCTAGAGGCTCTCAGATGCATGTGGAAGAGCTCTGTCTTCTCTAACCTTTTTAAGATCTTTCCAGACAGTTTCTACTGAAGCCATTCCAGGTAAGACTTTTCTTCCTCCAATAACGCACTATTACCAACATCTCATTATGTGGAGCAGTTTTAGATTAATTTTCAACTGAAAACACAGAGGACTACTCTTACTAAGGATGGCTGCCTCTCAACAGGGGATTATTGCTGCCTAGATCACTTGTTGACTCTAGGCCAGTACCAAATTAGTTATTTAAATATGATATTGAGCTGACTCAATTGGGGTGGGGGGTGGGGGCAGAAGAGGTAATGAGACTAAAGTTCAGCTACTTTGTTGAAGCAAAATTACAGGCTGAATCATTACAAGATAATCACATCAAAGGACAGCAGAATCCTTCTGGCAATCTCAAAGCTATGAACATTTCCATGTTACTATAAGTGGGGAAGGACCTGAATACAAACTGTTCAGTCTTAGAACTAAGCAAGCAATGAAACTGTTTCCAGTAATACTGAGGGAGCAAGAAAAACAAAAAACAACAGAAAACACCCATACCACACGTGCTATACAAATGGAAGAACCAGGAACATTGCTCCTCTAAAGCCAAAATATGAATTCAAACTATGCTTCCAAATTATGCTTCCAAACAAGTTCAGGTCAGTCAACGCATTTCAGTTTTAACAGAAAAGGAATAATTGGCCTAGAGGTCTCTGTAAGGAGTTCACACGTTTCTGGAAGCGAATCACTTGGCCCCTGACAAGCTCAAGTTTAAAGGTAGATTCTGTGCATTAATCAGGGAAGATCAAGAGTGGGAAGTCACATTAGTGGTTTAGCTTTTGTGCGGGAAGAGTTGCCACAAAGACGCCACTTGCATACAAGTTATGGTCATTACAGTCTCTAGCCTGGCTGGAATCCCTTGACTGCAATAAATATGCATCTTGTTTAAAATTCTGCACAGCATCCAGTATTAAGATGCCACAGTGTAATCAGGATGTTGCCAGACACACCAGACCGTTAGCCTCAAGCTGCTTTTGTATATATCAAGACTAAGGCCTGAGGAATAGCTATTCATAAGTGAATAGCTAGGACAAAAGAAACCATTCTCCTGAGAAATTTTTCCAGGTGAGATGTCCTTTCACAAAAATCCCTCCCTACTAATGGTGTAAGCTCTGTAAACATACTGTACCACATTAGGAGGCCACATGTTCAGGTCACATGAACACTTTCTTCAACTTTTGAAACCTTTACAATTTGTGTCAGAGGTGCTGATCTAACCCTACCAAATAGAGGAATTTCTGGCCAAAGGGTTACATCTTCCTCATGTTCCTATGATGGGGTCAGGCATCAGAGACTGACTCCTGTCTCCTACCTGCTGTGGCACTTATACTGCTCCCATTGCCGGGCCGAGTGAAGCGTCTGCAGAAACTGATAACACTCTTGTGTCTTTGTGACACTTCCGCTGAACTGGCAGCGGCCTCAAAAAGCAGAGCCTCCAAGTCTCAACTAAACAGCATGCATCTCAGCTTTTCTTGCTGTCCTTTACTGCAGTTTGGACTATATTAAAGCCTACTGCTTTGCACTTAGCCCCAGACAGGCTCAGATGTCACGTGTCAGGCTAGAATGACTACCCAAAAATAAGTATTGGGACAAACGTTTTAGCTCCAACCCTAGGGCCAGCCTGCTTACAACGCTGCAAGTCTTTCTGCCAACGTAAGTCTGAGAAAGAGGGAATCAAGAAGAGGGACGTGGTAACTTGCTAGCATTTCACAAAAATGCAGGGGTCTGCCTACACAGATCTAACTGCAGGATTACGGCTCTAACATACGTGTACAACTCAGCTATGCAAAATAAGCATCAAGAGCCCTAACATTACAGTGAAACCCAGCAGGCATATGCCTATGGATGAAAGCTCAGCACACATTCAAGAGATCTGCCCTAGAACGCTTACTTGCTCTGAACCCACACTATGTCACCTGCAGTGACACTGTCACATTCCACAGGGTTTAAAAATGAAAAAGCTTATAGAAATGGACACACCCACCTATCAAGTGGCAATCATTACAGCTATATCTATTCTTCATCCACAAGCCAGCAAGAACTCAAGTCTATGTGCAAATTCAGGTGTTTCCATAGATAAAGTAGAAGCCTGCTTCTAATCCTGTAACAATTCCTTTTCCAATAGCCACTAACTCCCTGCAAGTTTCTAAAAACAGCATTAATGGAACAGTCCTGTTCAACTGGAATAAAACACTGGCATCACTGAAACCTTGAAGTGGTTTGTGCATCAGTTTTCCCTCCGATATATTTTTTGTAAGAAGAAATATGCCTCCTCCTAAAGGTACAGCATAACTCACCAGTCTGAGACTATCAGTGTCCATGGAGTCCCCAGGCAAAGCCTGAACTCCCATACAATTTCCCTGCAAATCAAGGGACGGGAAACATATGGCAGCAACTATCCCACAAAAACAACTAAAGCCATGTTACCTCTGATGTGGCCAAAATATTAGGTTAATACAAATTCAATTGTTTGCTGTTGTATTACACCTCATCTGGCAGCCAAGGTCAAAACCAGGTAGGAGTTATTTGGGCAGTAACATAAGGCACGGTAGACAGTTTGTGACAGCCCCACGGGCACCAAGGACTATTCTTTGGGGCAGCCTACCTCCATCAGTCTGTCATCATGCACACACCAGCTTGGTCTTACACATTAAAGACCATTTTGTTCAAAGCCTTCAGGAAGGCGCATACATGAAGCCTGTGTGGAAGTAAGAAGTCCTCAAGAGTGTTTAAATACACCAGGATTCCAAACAAAACTGTTGTCAAGATGCATTTACACCATTTATAGCTTTAGAACCTTTCTTCCTCATCACAGATATTTCTGCTGTGATAATTAACCATTTCACCCCAGATCCCTGCAAACACTGCAGTCCATAGCCCCTGAGGCAGAGTTCTGCAGAGCAGCACTCCAGTCAACCTGAATCTGCTGAAGATATGCAGTGGGTACACAGGGAGCTCCACCTTGGGGAAAAAACTGAAATGAAAGAGTGAAGGGGCAAGGGCCATGAGCTGGGAAGGGCACCTTAGAAGAAACCATGTGTCAGAGAGAGAACTAACCCTGAAAGAAAGAATCTCACCGTTGCTTGAGTTTTGGAACGACCTCTCGCCCTCAGACCTCCTCTGCGTTTCTTCGTTCTCAGAGGTCCTGTAGGTCGCAGTGGAGCCAGTCTGGCGTTTTCTTACACAGTCTTCACCTGCCATTGTTTTCCAGCTGAACAGAAAAGGATAGGAAGCTATTAATGAAGAAACTCATTTATTCTTTACACTGAGTAAGAATAGATCTACACAGCCTTCTTCACGCTAAAGTTAGATTTTCTTCTTTCCATTACAAAGGCAAAGCAAGGGCAGGGGAAAAATAAACACACACTCGCATCAGCCATTTACTGTGCTTTTTCCCCCTACTACGAGCCCTGAAGGAGTAAAGTAACCAAGCAAGTTCCCCTATCACTACCACAAACACTTCCCCTTCTCTCTCCCTCTCCCCCTCAAACCTTCTAAATAAGTATTTAAAGATACTCCTAACACGTCGTTGAATCTTAAAGGCCCCAAAGCCCTTGCAAATGCTTTCCGATAGTCAGTCGGACAGCAAAATTTGTCTCCCAAGAGATCAGGCATGTTTGCTTTGCAGAATCACCCACAAGATTTTGTCCAAGACAAGCCCTTTCCTGTTAAGCCTTCAGTTTTACTAGAAGAGCAGCTTCCTCAACAGATCCTTGTGCTCTGGCCAGACAACGGTTGTATTGCAAACCAGGGGAAAAAACAGGAAGAGAGAATTGGGTTTGAAATACACTAGACTCAATGGCAAAGGTCACAGCCGAGGACAGAACTTTCAGCAGTGAACACTTGAACTATCACAGTTAGGCTGAAAACACAGAAAATCCTTGTTTAAGGGGGAGTAGAGAGGGAAGAAGGGCATTCAGATGTTTATTTGGTCACAAGGTGACATTCCAGCATACTCCCCACTGAAGACAGCTCAAGAGACTCTCAGAGCTGTAGCTGGAACCAAGGACAATTATCAGAACTGGACTTTCAGAAAACCACACAGGCATACATGTAGTTACATTTACAAACTAATGCCTCTCCTTTATGATGCATTTTTCACACCTTGGTGCAAACTCTTAAACAGGCACTTGCTTCGCTGTTAGAGAACAGAATATATGTGCTTAGCACAGACGAGCCACTAGAGATGGGCAAGGAAAACTCATGGACCTGTAGGCAGAGTAGAGTAGGCAGAATACAATTATTTAATGTTCGATTTATTCAAAATACTGGGACCACCACTTCTGCAAAAGGCAAACAGGACCCTTATGATTACATGCTGTCACGGCCTCAGCTTTCTGTGTTTATCCCTCTAGCAGAGCTACCTCCCAGTCTCCTTTTGAGCATTACAAAATACAAAAAAAAGTTTTGCAACACCAATCAGTAAATCACTAACTCAATCACCAACATTGTAAGACAGGGCTTGGATAGGCAGCATGTTGCAAGAAACAAAGTCACAGCCAGGTCTAGAAGCTATTAAACAAAGACCATAAAAATGACAAACTTTCCAGCTGACTTTGTAAAACAGTTGATAGCTCACACTATCAGTCTTCATAAAGCAGAACGCATTCATCCAAATATTTGGGAACATAAAAGAACTAGACAAGAATATGGTAAAAACTTCCTATAGCAAATAGGCTCAGTAGCACAGAGAGCTAGTTCAGAGGACATAATCTGCTTCCACTAGCTTTGTCAGTAGCTATTGCTATCACCCTCTGCAATAACCCTCTTAGCTTTAAGTGTGACACAGTCACCATCATAAAGACATCACACTTTCCACCTCCTACCTTTCCCACACAGTTCCAAGCATGGGCACTACCACATTACGTTACTGTAAAGAATCATTTTGCCCACCAGGGGCTTACAACTGTAAGGAGACCCTGGACAGGCAGACATTTCAAGCCTTCTGCTCTTACTCGTGTAAGATGGCCAAAATCTTCTCATTCGATAAGAATCGGGTCACTCTGATTAAATAACAGGGTGTATCCGGGCCACTAGAGAACCTCTCCAATGTCTCCTGATTGAAGGTAAATAAGTTGTTCTTGTGAGCCACACCCCTCCTTAAAAAGACACCCATTTCACAACACAGGATCAAGTTTGTTTCTTTTCTCATCACACTCTCCACTCTATTCAAGAGGTGACAGAAATATTCCTCCCTCCCCAGTGCAGCTGTGGGAGCAGTTGCAGTATCTGACCGAACGGCTAAGAGATAGGAATTAGAAGTAAAGAGATCCAGCATGGGAGAAGAAAAAACAACGCATGGGAAA